TTTCCCTTGAACTTTTTAAAAGTGTATATGTTTTCAGAGACAGGCAGGCAGATACAGGCACCTGTGACAAGGCGCACACAGCTTGCTAAGGCAGACTTGGCACTCGAACCCAGAGCCTTCTCACATGGTCTTCAACATGGCATAGCAGCAGCCCTACTGCCTGTACTACTGTGGCTGGGCTCCTCAGGTTTTATGACTTTTGAATTATAAATTTCTCTAACTAAAGTTTATAAATCCTGTAGAGGAGGGAAATGTTTTTCTGTACTGCTGTCTCGTTTGGTCTCTCTCCCTGGCCAAACCTTCTGAAATCCTGGTAACTTCCTAAGTGGTAAGAATGGTAAAAGTGAAAGGAGTATGTTTTATTACTCAGAACAACCCCCTTTCATTCACACCTAAGTCTATTGATATGTTAATAATGTGACCATTGGAAAACCCTTAAGGATGGAGGCTGTTGCCAGAGGAACGTGCCAGAGCTGGAACTTGCCCCACCCTGTAACCTCTGGGGAAGAAAGACGTACTGGAAATTGACATTATCACCAATGGTAAATGATGTGATCAGTCTTGCCTAGGTAATGAAGCCCCTATGAAAACCGGAAAGTACGACAAGTATGGGTTTGGAGAGCTTCCCTTCCCGTTTGGTGAATGCACAGAAGTGCTGGGAGGGAGTGTAATGAGAGGGTGTGGACGCTCTGACCCTTCTCCACATCCTTACCTTGCGCTATGCATCTCTCCCATTTGGCTATTTCAGAGTTATATCCTGTGTAATAAATCGGTAAACACTGAGACGGGAGTGCTGGGATATCAGACTCAACACCTGTGCTGGTTCTCATCCTGTGCTCGCAAATAATTAGATGAGGACAAATGGAGAGGATAGTAAACAAAATTTATTAGGAATGGAGAAAAAGTTTCCAGTGTAGTGGAAGGCGGCCAGAATGGGTTGCCAAAGAGGAGCAGGAGGCCAAGGGTTTTTAGTTAGCCGCCTGAGCAATGGGCTGGTATTCTGATAATGAAGTGGGCTTTAGAAAATAGTTACGTGGTAATCTAAGTGACTTAATACCCTATTCTTGGTGGGGTCAGCAGATCATAGCATTCAGTACTTCTGGTCAGAATACAGTTGCTGAATAGAAACGGTTGCCCTTAGCTACCATTCCTTTGAGTCCAAATGCAGCCAGCTTTTGGCTGTGCAAACTTAGCCACTGTGACTCCATCTTGGCCTTACCTGTCCATGTGCTCAATATCCCTATCTCATGCCTTATTAGCAAGGAGTCATAAATTCTGTAGACCTGTAAAAAGGCCGTATATTGTACATTAACCTGACCATAGAGGAAACACGCAGACTTCACTACAAAGAAAAACACAGTGACTTTCTTTGGGAGTCCCTACCTGATTTTCCTGTAAATGGGATCTAACTCCATCTCAACATGAGTAAAGTGTTTTTCTGAGTTCTGCGAGCCATACCAGTACATTATCCAATCTAAGGAGGGAATTGTGGAAATCTGTTTTATAGCTGGTAACAACCTAATATTGTGATTGGTATATGAAATTAGGGTGCAATCTTGTGAGACTGAGCCCTTATTCTGTGTAAATCCCAGGTAGACAGTGTCAAAATGGAGCAGAATTTGGGACCAGCAGATGGTGTAATAGTTACATCACTAGACTCCCACATGGTTGACTGCAATTTGAGTCCTGGACCCAGTGGTATCCAACTCAAGCCAGGAGTGTGTGGGTGCCCAAAATCCCAAGAGGAGAATGGAGGAGAAGGGATTGTGGCATGGCTATCTTCACTGAGGGGTGATTTTTCGCTTTTAATGTTGTCTCTCTAGTGAGTGCACATGCCCTAGAGCACACATCTCTGTAAAATAAGAAATGAGCTGAATTTAAGATATCATGTACCAGGGAATTGAATTTTTTGGGGGGAAAACATACATCAGAAGTAAAGTATTGAGACTGATAACAACTGTAGTAATAGAAGAAATAATATTTTTTCATTAGCTGGTATAAAGATTTTTTTTTCAGACTATCTTAGGTTGATTGTCTGGGATCCTGTAAATTAGAATAACAAAAGACATATTAACAAGACACAAAAGCAAACACTGTTTACTAACATATGCATCCTGCAGAAAAAGGGAATACTCAGTGATGAGTCACGCAGAGAGAGGGTTAGAACTAAGGCTTGTATAAAATTTTAACAGGAGAACAATACATTTGTAGAGAAGTGACAAGATCCAGGAAAAGGAATTTGAGCTTCTAGGGAAAGCAAAATTGTAGGAAGACAAATATGTGGAGGAAACTAATGGGAAATTAGAGTTATTCTTTGCAAGATTTCTTATGTTGATTCCTTCGGTGCTATCTGGCTAATAAAGTCTGCATTTTTCTCTGATGATTAAGAATGACCCTAGGACCAGCAGTTGGCTTAATGGCTATGTCCCTGGACTCCCATGTAGTTGACCGTGATTTGAGTC